ACTAACGTAATCCCAAAGTGGGCATCTATGTAATCTTAATTGTTACCTTCATGCCCACAGTTCACTGTTAAATCATATCTTATTTTATCACTCATTAAGTTATTACTCATTATGTTTTACATACTATATCCTTATGTCCCTAGAAGGGTGTTCTGCTAACAGTTTTCGACTGACTTGAATGTCCTGCACAGCAGATTGAAGCTTCTTAAATTATTTTTTATTCTTATTGTATTGCTGTGTAAATTTGATTCTAATTCTAATAATTCTAATTCTAATTCTCAAATATTGCACAAAGCTCAATTACCTTAGTGTTACACGACAATGGCATGGCATGGTATCAAACGGTCAATTTGAGTACGAGGTCGATGGATCGTGTATTCCAAAGATCTTGTCAACATGCAACCCTTTGACTTCATTTTCCTGTAAAGATTTTATGAAATTGCAACCATGTGTTTTAGAGTTTGTTTTAAGAGAATTTTCTGGTACTTTAGAGTATTTGAATATTTCAAGAACAAATATTCAATGCCTCAATGTAGCAACTGATTCCTTACCCAAACTGGAAAAGATGAAAATATTCCTTGCAGGCTGTTACACGTGGTCTTTTCCAGCTAAAATTCCATCCCCCTCCCTCTACATTCGTCAGCTAGCAGCTGTTCTAAAGTTGATGCCCAACCTCAGAGTTCTAGATCTTTCATATAATCAATACCTCACCACTGAAGGTGTGGATGTAATCAGAGTTCTATCAGACCATTGTCCCTTGTTAGAAGAATTGAATCTATCGAATTGCAGAGTGCCTGCACAACATCTAGTGAATTTGAAGAAACTTTCAGTTTTAAAACGAATCTGTCTTGATAATTCAAGTTATGGCTATAGAAACCACAGTATCGATATTGTTGCCAACTTCAAATGCATTGTTTTTAAGGTCTTGCCTCATTTGAAGGAGCTAGAGTATTTGTCAATCGAAATGGAAAATAGTCGTATAGAATTGAGTGCAGATGACATTGTGTCGTTTATTGGCAATGCTAGCCCGAAATTCAAATACCTTTATATTATGGCAAACTTATGGCCAAGGAGATTTTCCTCCCGTCCGCGTCCGAGAAACAGAAACCTTATAGAAGAAGTAGCAATGAAATGCCATTCTATATCGAGAAAGGTTTTGATAAGGATACGAGTTGTTAACCTTTCTATGTTACACACACTGTCATGTATTGTGACTGAACCTTCTTTGCTGATTGGCCAACGCTGTGCATGCCAGCTTGACGATCTACTCCAGAGTGACAATCCATTGCAGACTGAGGTTTCTTTATCTCGTTCATACTATAACAAGCTGGCTCCTAAGTTTGTTCTATTTTTTGGAGACGAATCTTTTTGTTGTGACTTTTATGAGGATGTTTGCGTCTCCAGTAGTGATTATATTAATAACTTAGATAATAATGTTTATGACGTAAAATTGCCTAGTTTTACTTCCCCTTAAATTATCTTTCATCATCTTCATGATATTATATATAACAGCTTTTTATCGTGGTGAATTATTTCATATGTTTTAAATTTTACGCTTGCACATTTTATGTCAGGTCTTTAATTCCTACATTACTATTAGTTACAATATCTTTAATATGTTTATTGTTCTTAACGTTAAATAAAATTCAAATTACATTAATCTTTAAAATTACAAAATTTATTATTTCAATCGAAATTCGTCTAGATATCGTTTAAGTACATAATATTTCCCCAATTTTTCTACATAAGCTCATACACAGAGAAATACATTTCAGTAAGATTAACTGGAGTAAATGATAGTTCTTTTCAAAAGGTATTTATTCTGATTATATTATTATTTTTCAAGAAAATGGAGAAGTCGGAAGTAGAAAAGAAGAGACCTCCAAACAGTCCAGCTGACCACCAACTCGTTACCAAAAAACGGCATCTTTCAGCCAGCAATCCTCACAATTACCACCATCCAATGTTTGATAATGTTGAAATTGCTGCAGAAGATGCCTCACTTCCTACCATTCATTTGTTAAATGATGATCGTCTGGAGCACATCTTATCTCATGAATTTGGCATCATTGACATTTTTGGGCTTAGTCGGGTTTGTCGAAGGTGGTACAATGTTTGCTTATCTATAATATCGAGGATCAACGAATTTTCTTGTAGTTCAAGTTACATTTGTGGAAGATCAAATAGCTCAATGAAGGAAGTAATGTCGATTCTATCCATCAATTGTGGAAGCCTGACTTGTTTAAGATTGACTGACATTGATGGTTTGACACCTGATAACATGGCCATATTGGGGGACATGCTACCGAATCTCAAAGAGTTGGACCTTTCTAACCATTTCATGTCCATAGACCATGGAAATCTGTCAAAGGTTATTGGAGAGAAAATTTGCCCTAATCTGGAAAGTTTAGCTTTGAGCATATCATTTGTTTCAATCAATGAAAACTTAGAAAGTATTCTCAAATATTTGCACAAAGCTCAATTACCTTAGTATAACACACGACAATGAAATGATATCAAACGGTCACTTTGAGTATGAGGTCGATGGATCGTGTATTCCAAAGATCCTGTCAACATGCAACCCTTTGACTTCATTTTCCTGTAAAGATTTTATGAAATTGCAACCATGTGTTTTAGAGTTTGTTTTAAGAGAATTTTCTGGTACTTTAGAGTATTTGAATATCTCAAGAACAAATATTCAATGCCTCAATGTAGCAACTGATTCCTTACCCAAACTGGAAAAGATGAAAATATTCCTTGCAGGCTGCAACACGTGTTCTGTTTTTCAAAAAGCTAAAATTCCATCTCCCTCCCTCTACATTCGTCAGCTAGCAGCTGTTCTAAAGTTGATGCCCAACCTCAGAGTTCTAGATCTTTCATATAATCGATACCTCACCACTGAAGGTGTGGATGTAATCAGAGTTCTATCAGACAATTGTCCCTTGTTAGAAGAATTGAATCTATCGAATTGCAGAGTGCCCGCACAACATCTAGTGAATCTGAAGAAACTTTCAGTTTTAAAACGAATCTGTCTTGATGATTTAAGTTATGGCTATAGAAACCACAGTATCGATATTGTTGCCAACTTCAAATGCATTGTTTTTAAGGTCTTGCCTCATTTGAAGGAGCTAGAGTATTTGTCAATCGAAATGGAAAACAGTGGTATAGAATTGAGTGCAGATGACATTGTGTCGTTTATTGGCAATGCTAGCCCGAAATTCAAATACCTTTATATAAGGGCAAACTTATGGCATTGGAGATATTCCTCGAGTCCGAGAAAAAGAAACCTTATAGAAGAAGTAGCAATGAAATGCCATTCTATATCGAGAAAGGATTTGATAAGGATACGAGTTGTTAACCTTTCTATGTTACACACACTGTCATGTATTGTGACTGAACCTTCTTTGCTGATTGGCCAACGCTGTGCATGCCAGCTTGACGATCTACTCCAGAGTGACAATCCATTGCAGACTGAGGTTTCTTTATCTCGTTCATACTATAACAAACTGGCTCCTAAGTTTGTTCTCTTTTTTGGAGACGAATCTTTTTGTTGTGACTTTTATGAGGATGTTTGCGTCTCCAGTAGTGATTATATTAATAAAGATAATAATGTTTATGACGTTAAGTTGCCTGGTTTTTATGGCCCTTAAGTCAATATCTTTTATATATGTTTATAAGGTTAAATAAAACTTTAAAATTTATCTTTAAAATTACAAAATTTATTATTTCAATCAAAATTCGTCTAGGTAGTAGGTATCGTTTGCGCATATAATATTGTCTCAATTCTTGTACATTACTTCATACACAGAGAGATACATTTCAGTGAGAACTATCAGCTTATCCATAGAGAGTAGTAGTCCGTAAGAAGAGCTGTTTTTTGTCAACTCGAAAACACCGTTTACTGTGTTTTCTTAGCCGGGAGAACTTCTGCTCTCTGTTGACATGTCCCATAACTAAAATCTCCTCAATTATTTGATATTTCAGTTACATTATTCCAATTTAATGATAGATGATTAAATGTATTAAAGAATTGCATGGAGAAATCCCTAAGTCAATTTGGGGAAATAGCAATGGCACTCTCACCACAACCCCACCCCCCCCCCTCCCCAATAATTCGGACAATTATTTAACGCATGTCCCGCTAATTCTAACACTATTTTAGCACATGTCCCCAGTCCCACTAATTCTGACACTATTTTAGCACATGTCCCATTAATTCTAACACTATTTTAGCGCATGAATCACTAATTCTAACACCATTTTAGCATATGACACACTAATTCTAACATTATTTTAGCGCATGACCCACTTATTCTAACACCATTTTAGCACATGACCCACTAATTCTAACACTAGTTTAGCACATGTCCCACTAATTCAACAATATTTTCGCACATGTCCCCACTAATTCTAACACTATTTTAGCACATGACCCACTAATTCTAACACTATTTTAGCGCATGACCCACTAATTCTAACACTATTTTAGCGCACGAACCACTAATTCTAACACTATTTTAGCACATGACCCACTAATTCTAACACTATTTTAGCACATGACCCACTAATTCTAACACTATTTTAGCACATGACCCACTAATTCTAACACTATTTTAGCGCTTGACCCACTAATTCTAACACTATTTTAGCACATGACCCGCTAATTCTAACACTATTTTAGCGCATGACCCACTAATTCTAACACTATTTTAGCACATGACCCACTAATTCTAACACTATTTTAGCGCATGACCCACTAATTCTAACACTATTTTAGCACATGACCCGCTAATTCTAACACTATTTTAGCGCATGACCCACTAATTCTAACACTATTTTAGCGCATGACCCACTAATTCTAACACTATTTTAGCGCATGACCCACTAATTCTAACACTATTTTAGCACATGACCCGCTAATTCTAACACTATTTTAGCGCATGACCCACTAATTCTAACACTATTTTCGCGCATGACCCACTAATTCTAACACTATTTTAGCGCATGACCCACTACAGAATGACGCACACACGCTCAGCATCCTGGTCTCCCCAGCGGGATCTACTAGAATCCTCTCTTAGCGAGCCACTCCGCAACGTCCTCCGAGAATACGTGCCGTCAGCCCTGATACAGAACAATGAAAACAACAGCTCCTCCCAAAACACGGCCACTGTTAACATGGGTGATGAGGAGGATGACAGGGAACACAATAACAACAACTCTCCTGGGTATCTGGACTTCACGGCTTGTTTGAGTCTCGCTAAGAAGGTCCTCCCGTTTGTTGTGCTGATGTTGTTGAGATGGGTCTGGGAACACAGAACTGGGATTTTCGTACTTATCGGACTTTTCCTGGCGTTCCTACACTTTAATAAAACTATACGGAGGCACGTCTCACTCCGAGACAGACGTCACGTCTCCACCGTCGTGGCAAACATGTTGTTCCTGGCCCTGAACGTCCACATTGTTTACTACGTGTTTTACAGTGAAAGACTGTATCGGTGTCTGTATTTCATGCCTCCTGAGCTAGAGAACACGGTGTGGGATGTGTTGTGGGCGGTGGGTATAACTGATTTCATGGTTAGGTTCGGGGTGATGTTCGTTAAGTGTATTTGTATCATACAGTGGAGATGTCTTGTCCCGTACAAGTCACGTGGTAAATGGTACATGTTACTGGAGAATTTATCCCATTTTTATCGAGTTCTCCTGCCCTTTCCACGGTGGATCTCATTTTTCATGGAAGATAACCAGGGCCTTATCATGGGCCTCCTCCTCTGTGGTATTTATGTCAGCATCAAGTTATTCCAAGTGTTTTCCAAGATGTCAGAACTATGGGCAGTGGTCCGTTTCTTCTTCAGGGATCAGTACTACGGCAGCCTGGTGGACAAGTCCGTGCTGTCGGACACTCAGTGTCCCATCTGTCAGGAGGACCTGGATGAGCCTATAATGTTGCACTGTAAGCACGTATTCTGTGACGAGTGTATAACCTCGTGGTTTGACAGACACCCCACGTGTCCTATGTGCCGCGCGAGGATCACCACTGCTCCCCCAGTCTGGAGGGATGGGTCTACTTCTGCACTTGTCCAGTTCTTTTGAATGTTCCTCTGTGTAATTTGAAACTCCATGTCTTGTAATGGTGAGATTGTGAGACACTCGACAGTCGACATGCTTATATTGAGTTGGCATCGGTCTACAACATTTTGTGAATGCCTATGGCTGAGAGCTACGTTTTTGTGTTTTAAAATTGACGTCCGGGTAGCAATTTCTAATTTTATGATAACATTTGCATCGCATGATTGTAACCTCCTCATTACGCTATAATGTTTAAATGTTATCAAGCACCAGTATTCGATATTCGATGTATATAAATGCATATCATATTTCGTTAATGTAGTTAAATACTTCGGTGTTGTGATAATGTATCTGCTGTTAATCTTTGCTCTTGGTATTAATAATGTACTTCAATTTGTATATTTATTTTCGCATTAGGAATTGAGTAAAATTTTAGATTTTTTTTCTTTTATTCACCCCAGTCCCCACTTGACCTATAATTAAGGCGGCTTCAGCGTCCAAGTATTGATGCGCTGTCTCCATAGCAACCTATCCGCCATAAGTCCTCCAAATTCTCCGATATAATTCATTCCTGTATCAGATCGAAGGCTCTCCACATAAGTTTCCACCACTCCTAACTCCATGATTGGGCCATCGTAATAATAGGCGGTGTGCAAATATTTTAATTTAGTGCAATTTATTCCAAATATTCTCAACAGTCACGAAGCACGCCTAATCCCCAATAATGCTATTCAAAATACTTCCCAGATATAATATCATGTTCTCCATCAAAAAGCGAAGTACAGACTGAAGGAGCGGATTTGAAAAGGGAGAGATTTTCTGTGTCCAGCATGAGGCGAACAACTTTTCTACGAGGAGTATTTTATTGAACATGTCAGGGAACGTCATTATAAATCTAAAACGCATGTTACAGAACAAAATGGTTGTTGTGTCGGAAATAAATGTGCTGTCCTTAATTCAGAAGTAAAAACTGAGTAGATAGAAATTGGAGTGAATGAAGGTTTTCTCTGCTCAGTTTGTGGGGAAAGGTTTCTGGAAGACGATAATATTATTAAGCGTATCACGTGAAAACTAAAACATCAAGATGTAATGGGCAGGAACCGAGAGTGCCCAATGTCATGACAATTTTACGGCAAAATTTGACAATATGTGACAGTATATATGACAATATATGACAATATACGACAAGATTTGACCATATATGACAATATAAGACAACATATGACAATGAATGACGAGATATGACAAGTTTGACAATATGGGACAATAGTCGACAAACCGTTGGAAAATGGCCAGGCTCGGTCACTGCCCTGTAGTGAACTTCAAAACGAAAGTGATGGTAATACTATAGGGTATATAGTATATATATAGTATATACGAATCTGTCAGTTTTTACAACGGTGGAAAACCGTCTAAATATTCGTACCGTTCACATCGAAAATCATCTCAAGAATCACATGGGGGTTAAATGTCCAGAATGTCCAGATTGTTTATATGAGTCTGCTAAGAAAGCACGTTTTAATGTTCGTCTGAAGATTGGTAAGATTGACACTGGGGAGACAACATTTAAATGTCTAGATTGTAACCAGATCAGTTTCACGAGGTAGCCAACACTTTGTCTGTTCGTTGTATTTCTAACGATTATAGTTGAACCCAGCTATAGTATCTTGAATGATAATTTATCCGTTACTCGTTCCGATCCTATTTAAAATAGTAATCGTTTGGCTTCACGTAATCGGGAATTATAATTGGTAGGATCGATGACACTAAGTTAGCATTCAAACGCGAATGCGCGGCTTCGATAAAGCAAATTTTGACAACACTCCGAACAGTCCCGTGTACTCATGCAAAGTCATAATCGTCATCATCGACTGAATTTTACGCGGCGCGCGCTAATTGTTGATTAATCGGGACTGGGCTTGAAATTGGATATTATACAGTCCTTCTCACTCATTTTACCATTGTCATTTCCTAAATATTATCATTCTTGACGGCCCTAATGTTAATGTGGATCATGATATGTGTTGGTTCAGCTGAATTACTACAAGGATGCACACGACATGACAGAAGAAGTACTCAAAGAGATTTGGAAATCAGGGTATGCTCTTAAAGGCCGCATGTTCGATCGGGACTAAAAAACCTGCAGGCAGCGGTAAGGCGAGACCGGTAAAAGCAACATTAGCTTGTAACAGGATTTTAAGTGTGAATAAGAACGTTACTGTCACCAAGGTGTAACATTCAGTGCATTGGTTATCTATAGTACTTTGTTTTTTTGTTCATTTGATTTTTGGATATTTTGGTATGTCTTACTGGTATTAATATTTATCATAAATATTCTCTGTAATTCAATTATTTTTCGAGTAAACATTTATCGGGGAACCAAAACCCGATTCCCAATCGATCTGTTATATATTCAAGTTTATTTTTCTAGTTTTAGTCATCATTATACATCTGGCCATATAACACATATAATAGCGCAACATATATTGCAATACTGAATACCATAGCCTATACATAATAAGTTTTATATCAAAATAATTTCAATGTAACTTAGCATGGCTGAAATGTAACGCTTGATTTTTGTTTATGATAATTAATCGAATTTTCAAATAACAAAATTTAGCAAGCGATTCATAATCATACTCTTATCCAGAATTCTCTTCAGATGTCATGTCCTCACATTAAAAGCGAAGTAAAGACTGAAGAAGAGGATTTAAGAAGCGAAAATGGAGGTTTCCTGTGTCCGGCATGTGGTGAACAACTTTTCTATGAGAAATATTTTATTGAACATGTCAGGGAACGTCATTATAAGCCTGACCTACAAGTACTAGAAAAGGATAAGGAACAAAGTTTGTTCAGTGAATTTACTGGAGGGTCTGTTCATGAAAATGTTACGTTACAGAACAGGATGGTTGTTGTGTTCAAAATAGATATGATGTTGTTAAATCAGAAGTAAAAACGGAGCAGATAGAAATGAATGGCATGTCTGGTAGCTTTCTCTGCTCAGTTTGTGGGGAAAAGTTTCAGGAGGAGGATAGTTTCATTAAACATATCAAATATCACGTAGAAAACTCTGGCAAACGAAAAAGATCAAAATGTGATGAATTTCAAAATGAAAATGATAGTTTTAGTCTAGGATCTGGAATCAGGAATAGATCGGACAGTGGTTGCATTCCTCTGGAAAATTGTGATCCTGAAGAAAAGATTCGTGCTACTCTTCAATATAACGTAACAATTCACTCCGGAGAGAAACCATATAAATGTCCAGATTGTTCATATGCAACAGTTCGGAAATCAAACCTAAAACAACATATGAAGACTCACTCTGGAGAGAAACCTTATAAATGTCCAGATTGTTTGTATGCAGCAGCTCGGAAATCAAACCTAAAAGTACATCTGAAGACTCACTCTGGAGATAAACTATTTAAATGTCCAGAATGTTTGTTTGCAACAGCTAATAAATCATACCTCAAAGTACATATTATGAGTATTCACTTGGGAGAGAAACCATTTAATTGTCCAGATTGTTCGTATGCAACAGCTTATCAATCATGCCTCAAAGTACATATAAAGATATAAAGACTCACTTGGGAGAGAAATCATTTAAATGTCCAAATTGTTTGTTTGCAACAGCTAATAAATCATACCTCAAAGTACATATGAAGACTCACTCTGGAGAGAAACCATATAAATGTCCAGATTGTTTGTATGCTGCAGTTCGGAAATCACACCTCAAAGAACATATGGAGACTCACTCCGGAGAGAAACCATTTAAATGTCCAAATTGTTCGTATGCAGCAGTTCGAAAATCAAAGTTATTAAGACATCAGAAAATGCATGCTAATTAAAATCATTAAAATCTTTATTCTGAGTTATTCCATTCTCTTCACTATATATTCACTAAATAGTATAACTTTAATGATGTTGTGTCCCGTGTTAAAATGAATAATTTTATCTCAATATCTAAAGTATTGTTTTGAAATACGATGAATAACTATAGTCTAGAATTTAAATCTATCTTTTTCAGTATTTAGATATTTGAATTTGGGAATAACTTGCCGAATAAAATAAAGTCAAAAACTTTCATATCATCTTAGACACAATTTTGTAGCCTTAATTGGATGTACCTAATAGGATATTATATACATAGATATGTAACAATATCTATAATTGATGATAATTTATATACGAAATAGTTTACAGAAACATTAACTATATTACCTTGATTATACATTATTTCATGCCCATGTTAATTAATATAGTTTCTGGAATGCAATTGTCTTCTTTGCTTATTTATAATGTATGTTGACTTAAATCTCCCATTTCTGACTAAATGCATCCATCAAAAACTTATCCTGTAAAACACTGTATAGTACCAAATTTATAATAGATGCACGGTACTCCTGATTCATGATAACATTAATACTGATTTTAAATTCCTCTTGAATTCTTTTATTAATTTAACCACAATAATCTTCAGATGTCATGTCCTCACATTAAAAGCGAAGTAAAGACTGAAGAAGATGTTTTGAGAAACAAAACTGGAGGTTTTCTGTGTCCAGCATGTGGTGAACAACTTTTCTATGAGAAGTATTTTATTGAACATGTCAGGGAACGTCATTATAAGCCTGACCTACAAGTACTAGAAAAGGATAAGGAACAAAGTTTGTTCAGTGAATTTACTGGAGGGTCTGTTCATGAAAATGGTTACGTTACAGAACAGGATGGTTGTTGTGTTCAAAATAGATGTGATGTTGTTAAATCAGAAGTAAAAACGGAGCAGATAGAAATTAATGGCATGTCTGGTAGCTTTCTCTGCTCAGTTTGTGGGGAAAAGTTTCAGGAGGAGGATAGTTTCATTAAACATATCAAATATCACGTAGAAAACTCTGGCAAACGAAAAATACCAAAATGTGATGAATTTCAAAATGATATTGATAATATTAGTAGTCTAGGATCTGGAATCAGGAATAGATCGGACAGTGGTTGCATTCCTCTGGAAAATTGTGATCCTGAAGAAAAGATCCGTGCTACTCTCCAATATAATGTAACAATTCAGTCCGGAGAGGAATCATATAAATGTCCAGATTGTTCATATGCAACAGTTCGGAAATCAACCCTAAAACAACATATGAAGACTCACTCTGGAGAGAAACCGTATAAATGTCCAGATTGTTTGTTTGCAACAGCTAATAAATCATACCTCAAAGTACATATGAAGACTCACTCTGGAGAGAAACCATATAAATGTCCAGATTGTTCATATGCAACAGTTCGGAAATCAAACCTAAAAGTACATCTGAAGACTCACTCGGGAGATAAACCATTTCAATGTCCAGATTGTTCGTATGTAACAGCTCGGAAATCAGATCTCAAAAATCATCTGAAGACTCACTCTGGAGAGAAACCATTTAAATGT